ACAATTGAATAGCGGACAGTGGGATTGAAGATATAGACGAACAATTGAGTCAAGCGCGGTAGTAAGTAAAGTGCGTGAATCGTTCGTTGAGAATTATAGCGTGTGTTTAAGTTAAAAGGACCGTGGAAATTAAGTGTATTGGAAAGTTGAATTGAGAAAGAATAAACTAGTTTTATTTGAGAAAGGAATTGTATCGCTGAAGTTCTTCGGAAAGAATTTTTACGAGTAATTAACTAACGACCAGAGACGTAACAATGTATGATTATATGGTATATAAGCGCTAACAAAGAATAACATAAAGAAAATTAACATTATTCTTAGTATTATCACTTCCAAGCGAACTGGTGACGTTGGTATAAGAAAAATAATCTGTTTATAGTTTTATATTCTGGTAAATCTACGGAAAAACAGTTAAGCAAAACATGAACGAGCAGTGTATTGTTAACTCTATCGAATATGTTTGTGAACGTTATTGGATTGGATCAATTCAACTAATACTCTCTGCCACGCTAGCTAGATCTCGAATTCCAAAGTGAAACGCTACAAGACAGTAATTAAGGTTTTAATGAGCAATTTATCTTAGAATGAAAGAAAATTTTAAGAGGCTTGCATCAGTCAAACATAGGTTTTGTGTAGTTGTTAAAAAATCGTTTATATTTATAGGCAGTGGCCTTTGGGTTGTTTTATTCAACTTAACTTTTATACTTGTAACACTTAGCTGTTCTTCTTAAACTAATAATGAGAATCATTCATCAAAATAAGATATAAAAAGAGCAGTCAAAACATCTAACGGAGACAATGCTATAATGATTGCTAAAAGGGAATCATTAACAAAATTAGGACGAAATCGCCACAGAAAGTAACTATCTGCTGATCTTGTATAGACAGTTTGACATTATATAATGTCATTAATTACAATATGCTAATACGCTGTAAGTAAAAGTAACTTATCTGAAGCACAATATATATTTATTTTCAGAGCTTGCTGTATCAAACGTGCAGTTATGAAACAAATCCAATTTTTATCTATGAAACTGACTAACGCGATTCAAGGACCACAAATTGAAAGAACAAAACTGTGATGAGAAAAACAATCAACGAAAAACTTACCAAAAAGCGTCAAACATGTAAATATTAAATTCGTTCTGAGGACAATAAACCCCGTCATATTGGTTGTATGAAGACAGAAACTACTGAGTTCAATATGAGTTTTGCCGTAATGTATTTCGACGATTACGTAAGTGATCACACCTGCCAATTCCCACAAACAAGAGATGCAAGTGTATGATTACCTTTGTTTGTTTAACCAGGACCGGAAGTTTCTTCTCTGAAAATTGAATCAACGTGCATGTAAGTTTTGATAAGAAGTACCAACAGGCCGAAAACACGATTCTTGTTATCACCTCATCACTGTGTATTTAAACAAAAAAGCCATATGTAAATTCCTTAAAATAGTGTTTCCAAAATAACACGTGTTCGCTGATTCAATGATTGTAAAAATAGTTGTTTTCTTTATCGCATATTTTGTATTTTGATAATAACTTTTTTCTCGAAGTAGTTTAAAAAATTCTTACAATGCAGCTTTAATTCTATGAAGAATGTAATTCTATGAAACTGTTACAACACACGAGGTCTTGATGATAAAAATATATTTAATAGTGCTATTGACCCTAACATTGAAAGGCGCTCAATATTGTTAATCATGCAAACACGTTATTCCTTTCAATGAAATGGGGGCTACATCACTTAACTAGTAAGCTTCTACTATGTAAAAGTACACAACAATTAGATATCGTAACTTGCTGGATATTCATTGAGCGTTGTTACATATTGCAATTTCAAATAGCCTAAAGCTGTTTGTTTGTTTGAAGTTAAACACAAAGCTACACAATTGAATATCTGTGCTCTGCCCACCACTGGTATCGAAACCCGGTTTCTAGCGTTGTAAGTCCACAGGCATACCGCTGTGCCACTGGGGAGCAGCCTAAAGCTGAGTTAAATTGTAATTTAGATTTAGTAGTTAAATAAATACCGATATATCTCCAATTTATGATATTTGCCAATAAGATTGATACACACAGTTTTTTAATACAAATATATTTTAATACAGAAACAATAATACAATTTACAATACCAGTTATTACAAATGGTTGTAATAACTGAAGTGGCCTGCACACTTATCAAATTTGGAAGAAGATTCCAACCCCATCAAGTGATTTATGACATTAAATATATCCTGGAAATAGCTCTTTCAGAAGAGTAGTCGAACATACTCTAGGCCCGTTTCAATACTTTGATTTTAAGCATGCAGCATTGGTGGTAGGCTGCCCTTGCTGTTTGCAATAACAATGTACCACACACTGAAGCGAATGCTATGCACTCTAAACATATAATGCCAACTGTACCAAATGCTTATTTAACGAATACCGGTTGAATGAGCAATTGTTCGAACTTCAGACCACACGATAAGTCGTCAGACATCCGATTTACATAAAAATCAGCCAGAGGAGGTAGTTTCATTATTTTATATACAATGAGTCATTAATAAATTTCAATTGTTTTTAAGTGCAGTGCACAAGTCTAAACAATACAAGAATAAATTAACTATTTATTTTAAAAAGTTTCATACTTTGATGAGTACATACAAACTGGGGACAACTAATATCGGTAAATACACCAGCATTTATCGACCTGTAAAAGGCCTGGCATGGACTGATGGTTAGGACAATCAACTCGTAATCTGCGGATCACAGAACTGAATCCCGACACCGAATATGCTCGCCTTTTCAGTCATGGGACGTTATTATGTGATGATCAATCCTACCATCTATTAATAAGAAATGGCCCAAGAGTTGGTGGTGGTGATGTTAATTAGTTGCTTTGCATGAAATTCAACAAGGACGAACAAATATTTACCTGTGAACAAAGATTATTTGTTACCTTGCCCTTTCATATTGTTACGACAGCGGAAGTCACGTGACGCTGGTGATACATGATAAATTTCTCGAAAGATCAGGGAGGCCCGAGTGTATTCGAGACGCCCCCCCCCCCTTCGTTGGTATATAAGCCTGGCAAAGAAAGCCTTCGGGAATGAATGAAGAGAGTTCCGGGTAATTTACGATTCTATTTCGAACTAGTGTTTTGCTCTCGTAGAAAGCGAATTTATCGAGATTGTGAATCGCTCTGATTTACAGCGTGTATTATAAAAGTA